GTTTAGTTCAGCTTTATGGTTGCCATGAAAATTTCAATTTCGCTTTGAAAATAAAAATTTAGTTAAATCTTTCGTTTATTTTGGCTTTTTAGGTGAAGCATAAAAACGTAATTTTCTGCAGCACTCACTGTTCACATATAAAAGATATGTTTCTCCGCTGGATTTAACCGGAATGGAAATAAACTCTAAAGCAACCCCAAGCATAGATCGCTTCAAAAAAAAAAGGCCGGACTGCAGAAAATAAAACAAAAACATTTAGAGAACGAGAAGCAGATGCGAAACTGCCAACAGTTTTTCCTGAATTCCATGCCAACTGAAAATGCATTTTTCTGTCGCATTTCCTGCCCCAGCGTGGAGCATAAAATGAAATAAAATAAAATAGCAAAGGCAACATAAACACGTGCCAGCCCAGTCTAATGTCTGCTATTTCCTGTTGGCCAAAAACGGTAGGCCAAAAAAAAGGAGGCAAGAACAGGCATGCATTAAAGCAAGCGTCACTAAAAGAAGCGTGGAACGACAGTGAGAACTTTGGTCAGGGGAGAATCTGGACCCAAGTTGGGTTTCCTTTCTCGACAGTTTCCTCCTCTCGTGCCACTTTTTTTATTTTCCCAACCACCTTGAATGGGAAGCGCGGCGAAGGAAATGAGGACACAAAAATCCCGCAGAATAAAGGAGTAAAAATTCAAGAAAAATCCAAAGGAATCGCCCTGGGATTACCCTTAAAAAACGTGAAACTCATTACAAAAATGGCCAAGAAACTAAAGAACTAAAAAAATTAAATAGAAAACTAGGCTGATACATTTTGTATCCTTTCTATAGTCAATAAAATTTCCCTTCCTATGAAAAATAGCAATAAGCTGAAATGTTGTTCTTTCAAATACATAGTATCTTTGGAAAATACGTTCAATACTTTCTAGAATTCCAGAAAATGAGTATAAAAATAATGTTTTTAATTAAACCCTCTAATCAAACACATCTGTGTTATCCTAACTAAGCTAAGTACTTAAAATAATTGCCTAAAATCTGAGGAAAATATCGCTAGACAGTCTCAAAAACGAAAAGTAAATATGAAGAGAACTAACAACAAAAAGTAGAATAACACAGAGATCAACAACAACTAAGGCCATAGCCACACTTAGCAACACCATGAGTAGCAACTCAAAATAGCTGGTAGTTAGAAAGGGAAAGAGAAATATGTTAATAAACTCGAGGGGGAGGGGGTTAGGCATAGCATAACGTGATAAACGCTGGATGAATGACCTCTCTCTCTTCATAAACGAACTCTTCTTTTTTCCACTGCCAACTACATTTTAGTCAAATACAGATGACGCAGACGGATCTTAAAGATGCACTGAAGCAAAATTAAGATTTAAATTATGAGTTTTTATTTATATACTTTCTTAGCTGAGTTTGACAATATATTGGCTAAAATAATTGTTATTAACTGCATTGATTGCTGATGATGTAAAATTTGATCTTTTTCAAAGCACTAATTAATTTAAAATACATAATTTTGAAATTGAATACAGTATGTGTATCTTTTTTAAAACATCTGAATATTTTTCTGCTTATTTTATTCTTTCTACGTAATATTGAAAACATTTTTTGCTCAGTGCACTGCCAGTATCATTTTCCGCTGCAGCGATGAAAAGTTTTTTTTTGCCACTGGCCATCCTTCTAATAGGCCAACAAAAATCTCAGCTGGATAATGATGCACTGACAACTGAAACTGCATGCTGCGTGCCCTGCATCTCTTTCGTCCACCCTGCTGCCATCTCTTTCTCACCCCTTGGTGCTGTCTCTTTCTCTTTTTGTGGCAGTTACTTAGTTATGCATGCTTCTTCTACCACTTATTTTTGTTTGTTTGTCTGCATTTCTGCTTTCGAGTTCATTGCCGCGACTTATTTATTTTTTTTTTTTGTTCTCCTGTGTCTCAAACATTTTCCACTCGCTTTTGAGTGGCAGCATTATCATCATTATCATAATGAACACTAAAATCATTATCGCCTCACAGTGCTGGCCCTATCTTCTTGGCCCACTCTTCTGCCCTTCAGTTTGTGTGTTCATTAGCTTTGTAAGTAAGCCCTAAGCCCCCTCTCTTGACACACTCGCCCCGATCATAATTCAATTATCCAAGAAAGGGAACCCCTCTTTGGACAGTGGATCGAATCCGCGGTGGCCAAATTTAGGTGGCTAAAGGAAATGGTTTACGACTCGTGAAGGAAACAGCTTGACTTCCCACTTTCAGCTAGATGGATTGTTAACTTCTGGGAATGCAGAGGAAGAATATGATGGATTGCTGGGAATTATTGTGGTTACAGGTGAGGAACTAATGCAGAATATAGAGGTAATCTTAAAGTTTTGCTTTAATTTTATTTAAATTATATCTGTTAATTATTCTTGATTGAAAAGGTAAAAACATTACATGCTTTTTTAGAACATAATTTAATATAAAATGAATTATTTGAAAGGTGAGTTTATATTCAAAATAAGTTTTCATAGCAATTAATAAAAATATTTATTTAGTTGGTAAGGGTGTTAATAGTATAGCTCTGCTTTAATTTTACTTCAATTATATCTATAAATACCTTTTAAATAATAATGTGAATAGCTAAAGGTGGGCTTATCTTTCAAATAAATAATTTTGCAATAATTGAAATTCTAAATGAAATTGACTGCCAACCTAAAGATTAACTTTCATAAAATAGTTTGCAATTGTATTTTCAACGGATAATTATGTGCATATAAATGGTTTTGCCCCTTCAATTACAAGCTAAGCAAAAAGAAAGAAGTGTAGACTTTAAGAATACGTTTTGCAATTACACAGCAATCAAAATTGAATCCCATAATTGCTATATCAACCACTGTACCAGCGGACTATGATGGAACAGGTGGTAGGCAGTGTTCATCAGTCAGGCACCCAGTTTCCTAGAAACCATAATTTGCACGCTTTCTTCTCAAAACCCAGACACGAGTCTCGATTAGACAGACTCTCCATTATTTGCCGCTCAAATTCTTGGCTTTAACACATTTTCTAAATATTTTCGAGTTCACGATCAAGATCAACGAAAGAGAATAGTATGTGCTGCTAATGAAACCGGCGAAGATGCTGTGAGAAATAAGGCGGAAATGGGGGGTCTTCTTTCATATATGCTCGCACACACTATATATATATATATAAACACACATTTTGACTTTCATTTCTTCATACAGTTAGACACTTTTATTGTGTTTCACATTACTTTTGTGTGTGCGAGTTGGTTGGCTTTTCTTTTTCTCCCCATCTAGACATGCGTTTTGTTTGCGATACATTTTGTTACTGTTACTGTTTGTGTTTTAGTTTTTGTTTTTGTTTATTCGGACTTTTCCTGAATTTCTATTTTCAGCATAGATAACCAAAACCAAGAGCATTTCTATAAGCAAAGTGCGATATTTCACAAGGGTCTCGCCGGAATCGAGTTGACTACAACAATACGGACCGCATTATATCTGTTCTTTCATGGCATTGTTTTTCTTTTGCGAAATTCGTTTTTCTTTCGCCGGCGTTCCATCCTTTGTTTTGCGTATTTTTGGCATTCCCACAGACGCTTTTTGCAACTTTTCCTGGTTAACTTTAGTTGCTACTTTTCAGAGGAGTTTTCCATCCAGAACAGAGGCTTACAAACCAAAGGGGTTATATTTTATAACAAAAATTTAGAGATTTAGTAACGTTTTGCTGTGTATATTTTAATTTATTTAATATTTACCCCTTTCTGATATCCTTGACTACGCCCATGTTCGCAATAATAGTTCTGTGTGTGTTTTCAGGGTGAATTTGCTTAGTACCAACAAAAGCAAATATAAATTGCCATAGATTAAAGTTGCAATCGTGACTGGGGTAAAAGCAATGAAGCAATGGAGAAAAAGCTGGGGAAAATGGAAGTCACCGGCGAGAGGAGAATCAAATTTGGTATCAAATTACTCAAAGCAAAATTTCAATTGAGATAATAGAGCCTGATTTGCGTTCAAATAAATGGCACATGGAATTTCTCAATTCGCGGAAAGAATGTTCCTTTAATTGAAGTAAAAAGGTTCTTTAATTTCATAAAGTCATGGTGAAAATGAAAATTGATATAAATATTTAATTATCTTGAAAGTCAATTCATTTACATTCTTTTCTGCGTCTGTAATTTCTTTTCAAGTTGAAAAACCTATACGGAATTAAATTAAGCTCTTAACACTGTGTGAAAAAGCGAAACAATGAGTTACGCCGTGCTCGGTTTTTCTTCTTTTTGTTTTCCCAATTTTCACACAGACAAAACTCGCGCTCAATTCCACTCAGAGATTTCAGTAGGAACACTTGCGCATATTAATTGCTTATTGAGCAGGCTTCTCTGCTTTCGACGAGGGGAAGTCAAATGGAACAAAAAAAAGCCGCGGCGGTCAAGAATTTTTTGGGAAAATCCTCGTGCACGAGGGGGAAAACCTTTTTTATTATTCTTTATCAGTTTCAATCACTTCATCGCTCCCAACACTAGAAAACCAGTGGGCACTCGCAAAAAGTCTCTAGACTTCATTGTTTTTTTTAAAGCGGTTTCACTAGGAACTTTATTAAATAAGCTTTGTTATTTTTTAGATTTTATCCTTACTTTTGTTCTAAAATCGAAATCTGAGTTTTGATTACCTATAACATATTGGTAAAATGCACATATTCTCCTTCAAGAAAGCGATGAGTAGTTGATGCTAGTAATAATTTAATATTATTTTAAAAAGACCTTTTTTCTGTTCGCTTTTGGTTTTTCTTTTTCACAATTTTAATTAATTTGGCTTGGTTTTTTGTAATTGCTTTTGGCGTTTTTGTGATAGACACCTAGAATTCATTATTACAGGGGTATCACTGTATTTCTGAGTTGTGGCTTTCATTCATTTACTCCGACACTTGCACCCACCCTCAATCCCTCATTCCCTCAACCCCGACATTCATTCACTCATTCATTCATTCGTGCAAGTCTCCTTCTCACCTGTTTGTTTTGTTGTTGCTGCCGCTGTTGTTTCTTGCCCCTATCTCCCTCTCTTTCCCTTGCTCTCGTCCCGTCTTCTTCGCTCGCGTGCTGAAACAAGCGTTTTCCGGCCGAAGGTAGATTTTTTATTTTATTTTTTTGGGGTGTCAGAGGTTGCAGGTTCGGTGGTTCTGGGGGAAACCTTTGTTGCAGCCACTTGTGCGCCTCTCCCTCGTTTTTTTTCTTTTTTTTTTCTTCGTCACTTGGCCCTTTACTGGTTGACAAAATGCCAAACGCTTGAAATTCTTTTATATCCGTTTTTTATTTTCCGCCGTTTTATATTCGAATTTTTCCTTTTTTTCAGTTAGCGCGCGGTTTTAAAATTTGGTTTATTTCTCTGTGTTTGTTCAAAATAAAAAAAAGGAAGAACGTAGTGCTGTTACCGCTGCTGTTTGGCTGTTTTTTTCTTATTTTTATTTTAGCTGGCGTTGGTTGTTGTGTTGTTAACCTTTTCCTTTCTGTGCACGTGTTTGGTTTTCCCTTAACGGTGTGGTTGTTGTTGTTGCTGCTCTCGGCTTTATGGCAACCTGTTTGCCACTGGAATGTTTTCGTGTGGTTTTCCGAAAGAATGAAAACTCGGCTGGAATGCTACGAGTTATAATTATGATTGCATTCGATAATCTTTGTAATTTCCGTTCTCATTTTTGGTATTTTTTTTAAATCAAATAATTTTGGTGCGCATTTTCAAAGGGAATTGTTTTGTTAACTTTGGAATTCGGGTTTCAAAGTTGTGGTTTTTTTTTATTGTGATAATTATTCACGAATTAAAAAATTGCCAATGGTAAATTAAAAGTGTTTGCTGCTCTAAACTCTTTAATTTTTATTAAACTTGTGTAGCTTTTATTGTAAAAATGTAGTTAAACAAAATTGATGGCTATTCACAACAAATTTTAAATTAAATATGTTAAGTTAAAAGTTTTTTGATGTGTGATTTTTTTTGTATTCAAATTTAAAAATTTAGTTCAACAAAATTGAAGTCTTTAAATTATAAATGTTAAATATATCCTCTGATTTGTTTTATAGTCTTCTGATTTGTTTTCTTTAGACTCAACGGACATATTAGTCCTACCTAGCAATTCACAGTTTTTAATTGATTTCTTTTGTTTACAAAATGTATAAATAAAACTTATCAAGAACAAATATAAATAAATAGAAAAGGGGCTGACATTTTATCATTTCAAAAGTGTTAATGTATATTCAATTTCGCGTAAATAAAATTCTTTTGTGCAACATAATTGTGTGCAAACAAGCCGCCAAAGCTTTTTCATTTTATTTACATTTCCGACTGAAGTATTTATCCAATTTAACGCAACAATTTAAACAGCAAATAAACAAATCAATTAACGGTTTTAATACAATTCAGTTGGTTTCGCTACAAGAAGTCGGTCAATCTGTGAAGTTTGCCCATATAAGTCTGAGCTTTAAATTTAATTAAGCCTTTTGCTGCTGTTACTGGTTTTGGTGCGCTGTTTTTTTTTTTTTTTTTTGTTCTTCTATTCTATTTTTCTCAGTTCTCATTTCTCAATTCTCAATTTTCTTGATTTATTTAGTGGCCAAAGATGGAGAGAGATTCTCTGGCTTTCTAAGCCCCAGATGATGCACGCTCCGCTGGCGCTGCCCACTCGAAAGCAGCAACAACAAGCTGCCCAGACTTGGCTAACTGTAAACCAAATGAAAAACTTCTATTGATAGAGTCGAGCCGAGTCGAAGTCTCTTGGCCAAATTCACCATAAAACACGGCGACGTCACGGCGCGCATTCAAGAATTCTGGACCAGCAGCTGGAAAACCGTTGTCCGCCGTCAAAGCCAAATAATACAAAAAACTGGTTTTCAAACAGGATTGGTATTTTCTGTTTTTGTTGCTGTTGTTATTGTTGTAGCATAGAATGCATATTTGCAAGTGCAAATGATAAGCGGGAAAAGCATGCAGAAATGAACTACACAAAAGTATACACCAATGCAAAAACACAAACGCAGAACCGTACGCACTCTCGTGATTTTTCCCCAATCGCGTTTTCCGGCAAACTCCGTCGACGTGTGCACCGTTTGGGCCAAAAATTGTGACTGAAAGCCAAGAATCGGGCGCTCCAAAGTCGGGCTCCATGCCATGTTAACACCGTTAACAGCGGCGTTTCACGAAGCAAAAGCAGCGACGCAACAGCGAAACTTCGGGTATTCAAGTGTTAACCGGCTTTTAACCCTCTGCTAAATGGCATTTCTTCTTGCGTGTCAAGTTAATATTTTTTTTGGGGGTGCATTAAACCCTCCGCTTTTCGCCTTGCTTGAGTTGGCCAGACATGCAGGCCGAACTATTGGCATTCAATTGACTAACAAAATTAGTAAAGTATGGGTAACAACTTGGTTGGAGGAAGCTGCCTGCAATTTCAAAATTATGCAAAATTAATACAAATACTGGTATTAATAACTGAATGGGATGTTAATAAGCCAGTTGTTGAGTTTAGGAAGTAATCAACAGTAGCCTTTGGAAAACTAATATCTTAAAGTCTACCAACTAGCAATAAATGTAAATGGCAAACTAAATAGCAACTATCTAAAACCAAAACAATTGCTTAATAAATTTGTACCTTTCCATAAGTTCCACTTGCAATTTTGTAGAACATATAAATATTAAAAATATTCAATTCTTAACGCAAGGAAATAAATATTTAACTTCATTTATTTAAGTCAATTCTAAATATACTTTATTTTATTTGATATCAAAAAATTATCAAATACTTAAATACTTCTAGCTAGCAATATATGTTTAACTATTTAGTTATAAATAGTTATTTTAATGTTGGCCAGTTTTAAAAACATTACCTGTTCGTGTGTAATATCGTATGTTAGTTGTTGCACTTCATCAGTCCACCACTGTTTACTAACAGAGACCTCCAATATCGTAAATGTAACAGTCAGCTGTAACAGCCGGCTTAAGTTTACAGAGCTGACAAGGTCCGCACTTTACAGAGACCACGCACCGCAAATACAAAATCGAAAAAAAAACACAAACTACAACACACAAAACCAAACTTACCCCATGACCTACATGCCAAACATCCTCTCGAGGAATCAGGACCCACACCCACTAAAAGGCCAACAAAAAGAGGAACAACGAACATTAAACTTTAAGCGCAACTAATTATGTGGGGGCAATAAACGAGCATTTTTGCAGCTTTAAATAGTTGGTTGTTAATACAAAAGTCCCTGAAATACCTGAAATACTCCCGAGTTCCTTTTTACGTTCGAGTCGGACTTCAAAGATTCAGAAAGTTGAAGGTAGAATGTGCCAGTTATGCGAATGCGTTTTTCCATAAGCTCAAACAAAACACCTTACCTCCACTTTACTTGCGAACTTTTCAAATATGCCACTGCCACTCATAAGTTACACTTTAAATGCATGGCACTTGCTGCCGAGGTTTTGAGATAAATAAATTAAGGTGTTTTTTAAAAAACAAACGTACTTTACAGATACTCTTAAAATTGTAAAATTTTGATCGCTATAATGTATGGTTAGCTAATTGTTATATATTAAACAAAAGATGTCACAAAAAACAATGGAAAAAAATGTGTAAAAAATTAAACCATCTACAATTTTTTGACGAACTTAGTTATTATTTAAAAGCAAATATTAAAAAGCATATTTTTGATTTAATGTTGAACATAAAAATATTCCTAAAATTTATGTTATTTATTTAAAGATAAAATTTCAAAAATCCAACTGAAATGTAAAACATGTAAAACCAGTGAAACTAAAAATTTGGTCTATAAATTTTGTTATTCAATTACAGCAACTGCTTTAAAGATAATATTTTATAAGCAAAGTGGAAAGTAAATCATATTTTATTGAGTAACCATATAATCACGTGTTAAATTTATTTAAAATAAATATATTGTTAAAAGCAAAAGTAATATAATCAAAATGAAAGGATTCTCAATTTAAAAAGTAATTTTTTAAGCATGCATTGTTTGTTTGTAAACACTGAATTTTTTTTGTAGCATTTTTTCTTTTTCTGCCTGCTGTTGTTGTCTGGTTATCTCCTTTTGGGCTGAGTGAGTTGTGGCTGCTGTTGAGTTGGTGGCCTCAAGGCTGCACTTTCTTTTTTATTGTCTTTTCTTTTTGGCCTTTTTGCCGGCTGGCTTTTTGGCCTCATCGTTGCTTTCCGCTTTTCCGCTTTTCGCAGGTGACGTGGCCTATTAGCAGCGATAAAAGTCGAAGGCGCTCGACAACAAAAGGATATCCGCCTGAAGGAGCAGTGCCGGCAGGAAAATGCCAACGGCAGCACGTGGGGCATGCAACTTAATATGCTTCTCCTTTCTGCCCCGCCAGATTACGCACGCTGGAAATTATGGCTGAAAAATTAGCACATTAAATATGAATATGTATACGACTGGGGCGATATCTTAATACGGCAAACGTGACGCTTCGTTCGCCCCGAAAAATGTAAATAATTTCCCTAATCTGCCGACATAAAGCTGATTTCATATTTACATTTCGTATTTAATTGCGCAAATTGTTTGCTTGAAATTTAAAGCCAGTCCTATTCTCTGTCATTAAAAGCTTGAACCTTGCAATTATCAGGGGCATTTTCCACATGTTAATTAGCCGGTGGATTATTTATTTACCATCTAATCTAAAACACAGGAGACAGGTTGATTTGATTTAAGCGCAAACACTACTATTTGTTTAGTTTTCATTCTCTCGTTTTAAATGTGAATAATTTCGATAATTGATAATCGGATATTCGTGTTGGCTGGAAACTTTAAATATTTACATCATTATTTAGGTTTTCCATTTTGTGGGTTTGATAATTTATTATTTTGTTGAAATTGGTTGCCATGCATGGGCATTAAATCGACAAAATCCCCAAAAAGTATGCTATAATATGTCACATTATTTAATCAAGGATTCGGTTTTTATTTTCATTTATCTAATTAAGATCCTTGCTCGTTGTAATTTTCTTGCTATGCTTACCTTAATTGTTGACTTATTTATGCACCAGCATGTATTACTTTAATACGGAAAAAATCCCTTTTCTTAAGATTTTTTTTGTAATTTGATTACAAACGTGTTTCCCCATTTTTTTTGTTTGTAAAGGCCCTTAGCTTTTTCCTATTTTTTCACTTTTTTTTTTTTATTTTTTCATTTTTGTGTTTCCTTTGGCTTTCTGACTTTTACCATTGTCTATTTTAGCTCACTTTCATGATTTTCTCCTTTTCGTTTTTTATTCTTTTCTCTACTTTTGACTTATGGATGTCGTCGGTGGTATTTTTTCCCCATTCCTAATTGGCATTTAACAAGCCTTTCTTTGTCCTTACTCCTTTTCCAGACTTTTCCTCTCTTTAACAATTTTAAATTCTTTTGCACTTATATTTTTTCTGTACTTCTGGGGATAAATTCGAGTGCCAAACCTATTAATGTCAACTCATTAGGCACCGCTAGCCATAATCCCAACCTCTTGTTTCTAGAAAGGCTAACCCAACCGACAAATAAAATAGATGGAGCAAAGAAAACCAAAAAACCAAAAACTCATTCCAAGTCTTTGGACACGTAGCATCGCATAATTACAACTTAATCGCTTGACAAACAAAGCAAAAAGCAGGCGCCCCCACATAAACAGCAATAAAAACAATAGGGGAGTTTCGGGGGAAAGGGACGATAATGCCTGTCCTAAGTTTTAAATGGCGACCCAAAGTCACTTTAAAGACTCCTCGGCTATGCCGCCCCTTTATTGTCACGCCTTAAATAGTTAATAGGGAGTAATG